GTAGAATCAGTCGGCTTTCGCCTGAATAATAGCGTTAGCTCAGGGGCGGATTTAGAGGGAGCCCGGCCCCCCCCCCCCCTTTTGCCCCCCTTTTTGGGAGGTAAAAAAAGAAAAAAAAAAAAAAAGGAAAAAATCCTAAAGAAAAAGAAAAAAATGATAGCCCACAATGCCTCAAATGTTATTTTCGGGCGTCTAGAACACAAAAATTTCGCGGGGGCATGCCCCCGGAACCCCTTGGTCATTGTTGTCTCGATCGGCCCAAATTTCGCACCCCCCCTTTTTGGACATCTCTGGATCCGCCGCTGTAGCTATTATATTAGAGGCATTCCGAAACATAAAGAAGCGAAGTCGGTAAACTATGACTTCATTTATGTTGTGATTTTGGAAAACTCTTAATACTAATTAAAGAGCACAGTATGAAGTTTTAACGGGCATAGAATTATGCCGACTCGAAATCAATGTGTTTTCAAAGCTAGTACAAAGGTGTTTAGATCACAAAATAAGCTACGGTACTTTATATCAAGATACGGTACTCCTGTACGCTATTCACTGTGATTAAAATTTGTTATCACACAATAGGCCTATGACGTCATAAATTGGCATTTAAATCTAATAGCCTACTAATGTCGCGAATCTGGGCAAAACAAACAATGTACCAATCATATGCGACACGAGGGCTGGAAAACTATTCAGCCATCGCGCATGTTGTCTCAGCTCCAAAAATGTTCTGTTGCATACATAGGTTAATTCCTCCTATATAGATTGATTGAAAATTATTGCTTTCGTCATTGTCATTATGGTTGCGTAAGACACATGACTTCCCGGGGAATATAAAACCCCGTGCCTTTAGAACTGTAATAGACCTTTTCGGAGTGTCAATCAAAATAAGCAACTGACTAATCAGAACAGCGCCAAGAGAAGGCGCGCGTCTCACAAACGCACGTGTTGTCCCAAGTTCACAAACGCACGTTGAATCTTGTCACTTTGTGGGACCTTAGCAACAGTATCCAAGGGGCGGGGTTTAGCGGAAAGGTCCCATTATTGCATACTGTGATCAAAGTCGGCCTATCGCGTGCATGGCGATGTATAAAATTGTATTAGTGCCGATTAATTGTAATAAAATTAGACAAACAATATAAAGTAGGCCTATAATATTATTAATTATAAATAACAAATTAATGAATACGATGAATATTAGTAAGCTATTGGTATATTCTATCTCGGTAACCGGGTTATTTATAAATACTCGCAAATAGAAAGTAATTTGAATTAGGTGAATTGTTTTGAAAATTATGTCAAATCTGGAGTTGTTAATTTTCCTTGGAATCTGCAGCAATACATGGAAAAATGACTCGTCTGCATTGCCCGCGTCTCAACTCGTGTGTACCGAGGCAGCTTTTAATGTCCGTATTGAGTTTCGTTCACGATAATGCTAATTTCAGGCTAGCTAATTCATACCTAAATTACTCGCCGATAGTGGCATTATGTTACACATACACGCGGCGTTTTCTAATTTACAAACTCGTTACTATCCAAATCCAACACGGTGACCGATATTTGAAATATGAAATAATCGCGTTGCCATAGATATATTTTTAGCGTGAACTAAATGGGGCCTAGTTGCTAAAAAGAAATAGGCCGAAGTAATTTTAAAGTGAGGAGTACCGTATAATATCCAGCAAATTTGAATTTATTTTGTACAATTAAGTTTTTCTTGTATTTTATAATCCACAAAACAAAATCATGCTCATGTAGACAAAAATCACCCCATACCACCATATTTTGCGAGCTAGTGCCTCACTAATCATCTCCCCTACTCCCTCACCCCAATCTTCTCCACATTTAAAACTCCTTGATACACCACTTGTTACAGACTCAAATAAGAGAACCACCGGTGGCGCCAGAAATTTGCTGACAAGGGGTTCGATATGTCCGACCGAGGGGTTCAAACCAAGGGGTCGGCGAAGCCTCGGTCAACGACCTGGAATAATCCCTGGTAGGGTTGGTTCACCGGGAGAGTTTTTATGGCCTAGTATGGTCAGAGACGTTTAGACCACAATATAATATTGACTGGCAATCAAAATAACGTTATTTTAATAGGGAAGTTATTTTTAAAGAAATTTTTGATCCGACGACCTGGCGTGCGTCGGACGACAGGGCGTCCAGGCCTGTCTGACGGGAATCCCCCACCCTCCCTGCTGGCGCCACCACTGGAGAATAGCAATTATTGATTTATTGAAGTCGATTGGTCAAATGAGGTCTACGTTATATCATGGAGACATCATGTTTATATCGCGCGAAGCGAAAGATTTTGCCGCAAAACCTCCACGCGTAGGCGCTCGTCATTTTCCAATCCCATGGGGTCCTATGTTTATCACCCTTAACATTAACAGGTTTTTTCTCACCACCGAAAAAAAACGCAACTCCCTACGATTCATAATTAGGCTTAGTTTATAAACATCTTGTTCGTATGTTTAATTTGTGAAAGGACTGTCACTTAGTAGACTGGGCGGATGCGGGAGGGGGGGGGGTGTTGCAGACGTGCAAACCCCTCTAAATTGTACTAAGAAAAATAATTGTTGTATTTTATTGTTGATATGACTTACCGGCAAGATTTTTAAGGTATTAGAGTGCAATTTCCGGCACCTAGAGGTCCATATTCTCGCACCCCCTACCACCAAATCCCTGCATCCGCCCAAGGTAGACCACATAAAAACAGAGCGAACACAAAGAAATGGATAGACCTAATGTAAATTTAGCGTATTAGGATGTAAAGTTGATCATGATACAGTTCGTAAAATAGGTTTTAGGTTGCTACGCAATGATGCATCATCAATATGCATAATGAGGCCTACTAACTGTTTAAAGCCGTGTGTGTGTGTGTGTGTGTGGGTGTGTGTACGTACGGATAGTATAAATAGACAGTACCGTACACTCTACATGAGTTTATGACTGATAATGTAATTCGGTCAATTTTTACAGTTCTGTAAATTACTCGAGCGATATTTACTTCTGTATACAGTGTGTGTGTGTGTATTTTGGACGCATACCGTATTCAAAAATTGAAATTACCATAATTCATTGCAGGAAGTGGGGAGATATTGGGTAGGCCTCATGAGATACTTAAAAAAATGGGTGTTTTATTTTTTTTCTTTTTAGTATTTTCGTTCTTCAACTCCCTCTATCACCCCGGTTCTCTTCTCTGTCTGATGTCTCCATTTCGGGACAGACTGCGTTAGGCGAATTATGGCTTCATTACGGGAAAACCTATTCGCTTTAGATTGTAGAGAAATATATGTCACTGTTGCGACGTCAGATGATGAGTACGTGGCTGATGGATTATTGACGCACGGAGAAGTTTGCCATGATTGACGGAGAGACGACTCTGTCCAGCAGCCAGATGCTAGATTTCCATATCAGGAGACAATTGCATACGTCAGCGACGCGTAGTGGCCACACGAGACGAATACAGAATTAACTTGCTGCCAAGGCCTACTACTACGATTACGACGTCCGGACCGCGGGCGTGATTTTTGCCACGATAAAATAACATTAAGAACATCACAACAACGATAACTCATGCGATTTAGTATATTAAATAGTGGATCAACAATAAAGTAGATTATGAAAATGTCGCATGCGGCCGGGCCACGGAATGAGCGTTTTTGATCTGTGTTAGAACCATGATCAAGTTTTTAAAAAATTATTAAACATTAATAATGTGCTAAGTTTACGTAGGTTTCAGTTATCAACGTTCAATGAGATTCAGATTGAAGCAGTTTTTGCTGATTTACAGTATAACAATAAGGAATAGGAATACCTTTTATAGCAAGTAAAATATTTTGACTTGAAAGCTTAGTAACTTCAAAAGTACCGTACATACGCTTGTACAGTTACGCCTAAATACTATAGGCATTTGCTAGTAGATTCTTATACAGTAATTCAATATTACAGGTACCGTAATTATTAGAATAAACGGATCCCTCGAATAAACGCCCTCTCTGGAGCATCATTTGGAATAAACGCCTCCCTCGAATAAACGAATAAATACGGTAATATGGTACCTATAATATGCAAACATACCCTTTCATTTCGACTACTAAATTTAGTAAAACCAACTTTAAAACTGATTTTGTTTTCGAATTGTCAAAGTCAATACAGTACAGTACTACGATATGCAATAGCTAGGTTGTCACCGACAGATTGAATTATCAGAGAGTTAAACTTTATTCTGTTGGCTCATAAACAGAAGGATAAATCCTTATAGATCTATGTTAAATCTACTGTAATAGATTAAACAGGTCTGAAACTAATATAAGAAAGCAATAGCAATATTAATTGTCGGAATTCTGTTTAAAACATTTAAATAAGGACGGAATACACATGGGCCTAGTCTTAAATATACGAACCATCTGAAATGGACCTTTCCGCTAAGCTCCGCCCCTTGGATATTGTTGTTAAGGTCCCACAAGACGGCAGTGTTAAAACATGGACCTATTAATAAGATATTATTATCTTATTAATAGGTCCATGGTTAAAACATATGCGAAACTGCGTTTGTGGGACAACACGTATGTTTGTAAGACGCGTGCGTATTCCTAGCGCTGTTCTGATTAGTCAGTTGTTAAGTTTGATTGACACTCCGGAAAGGTATATTAGGAGGTTCCCCGATTCTACCGACCAATCTGCGTCGCCAAGAAACTGAACTGAAGGCGATAGCGATTTTATGGAAACTTGATTAGTTTCTTGTAATACCACGCCATATCCACGGATATCATTCGTATATTTTATTAACATTGATGTTTACAGTAAGTGCTTGTTTAAATGTCTTAAATAATTCCTCTCAGGAAGTCCTTTGTTGGACATCGTGACAATTTTAAATCCTTGAATTAAAAAAAATAACACTAAATGTTCTGCATTTATGAACAATCAACCAACCAATCAATCAATCAATCAATCAATCAATCAATCAATCAATCAATCAATTTATTTTACCCCATTTCAAATTCTGAATATTAGAGAGAGAACAAACAAAGAAAATTGGTTAAAGTTGGTCGGAAGTTTGAAAACGTAATGAGGCACAGTAGACCTTTAAAAATTAGAACAAAAAAAGTAATACAAAAATGAAACTTTGAAATACAACTATGTTGCTTTAGGCGAGTTTTCATAATTTTTAGAGGAGAATAAGCTCTAAAGAGAGGAAAATAGTGCCAGAATCACTACCGGTATTCACAATAATGTCTCGGACTCTTATATCGAACAAAGTGTTACAATGCACGTCACTGTTCCTTGCCAAATCATTCACCTTATTAACCAATATTCGTGTCACAACTGGTACCGGTAGTAACATTTGGAATACTGTACTTACTTCCTATGAATATATTTGACATTTCAAAAATCATGCAGAAATAGTATCGGTGATGTCGCTCACCGTCTCGAGTATGCGCATCCACGAATAAGATTTACTGTCTGGCTGTGTTTTTTTTTTTCTCCTCGTTAATCACTTGTCCATATTTTATCTTTACCAAAAAAAAAAAAAAAAAAAAAATCAATTTGATACTTATTCGGCCAAATAAATTAGAATAATGACCTGTTTAACACTACCTGTACTTTGCAAAACATGTGGAGGATCTCACTGAACGAAAGTGACAGGTCTATAATAAATTACGTAATGAACGTGAAATCGGATTCACGTTCCAGATGCAACTTGATGAAGTAGGCCAAAAAATAATGCTTCGCCCCATGATCCTTACTAGACCTTTCCAGAATGCCAAACTTAACAAATGACCAATCATAACAAGGCCTCTACGAAAAAATATACATTAAAAAAGTTAAAAACCACATTATATCACATCCTTTTCCCACTTTCCTAAATCTGGGGCGGATGCAGGGAGGGGTGCAGACAGTACGATCGCACCCCCTAATTTGAAGAAAAATAATTGTTGTATGGTACTGTTGATATGAACATACCAGTAAGATTTTTTAAGGTATAGAGTACAATTTCCGGTCCATATTCTCAAAATGTTCCCACCTCAGCCCCAACCATGGTGGGGCTGAGGTTGTGTGGACTCGCACCCCCTACCGCGAAATCCTGCATCCGCCTCAGTAATCCCTGCACCCGCTATTATCCTGTGACAACATATTTAAGTACCTGCAAACTTACACAAATATTATACTTTACTCTCTGGATTACTGATTTGCTTAATGAGGGTTGATAGTAAAAAATTGCTGCTTAAACTTTAGTAGCATTATCCACAGACGAAATGTACGTGTTGGAGCAGTAAATTAATAAATCATGAAGGTTTAGAGGTAGAAGCAGGTGATATAGCTTGCAGGTTCAAGATAAATGTAAACGTATCAAGTAATAGTGAAGAGGGACAGACGAATCCGAGTTGGCGCGGCAGATGGATTCCGTCTGAAGGGTAAAATGTGACTGACCCCCGACTCCTCCTGACGATCATGCGTGGTTCTAAAAACAACACGTTCTTCATAGTCACGCACAAATTGGAGCTCTTCCAACAATAATCAATATACTGTACGCTGTAAAAACTGAGAATTTGTAAATAAATGAGAGAACAGCATGTTATCTAAACAAGTTACCAGTCATTGTAAATCAAACGAGTATACATAAACACCTTCGATTTTTAAAAAAGTGAAAATAATTATGTTGGCAGGGAGGGGCGAAGGATTCTAAAACTACAGTGTATGACTGCTCACGCGATATTCCTAACACGTGAAATGAAACCTCAAGCGCGTTAATCAGATGGTTGCCAAAACATGCACAAGAAGTGCAGTCATGCAAATCCTATCATCTACTATTTCTACGATGTTTTTTTTTTTTTTTTGTTCATTTGTGGTTAAAGCATGGAGTTAGTCAATCTTCGTCTGACGTCACAGCAGAGCGTACTCCTGGTACCGAAGATGGGGTGCGTACAGGTAAATTCACTGAAAATCCATCACGCAATGGAACGTTCACTTTGTTTCCCGGCTAACCAAACGCATCACGTGAAAAAGTCTCGTGTTACTGCAATAACTTTTGAAGGTCCGAGTTTTTCCGAATACGATGTATTCATCTAGTCGATGACTGTAGGGGGCGTAGTTCTTGATTTGCAGTTATACACAAGGGAAGCGACAGAAGTAGGGCATGTCTAAAATCTGTTAATCTGTTTCTAAACTTATTGTTGCTACTGACACGGACAATTTTTTATTTTGGGGCTACTGTACACTAACAGGAAACCGGTTGATAAATACAACATAGATCGGGGATTTTACCTTTGAATCCAAATTGGGACAATGCAGGTTTTTTTTTTTTTGTTTGCCAATCTATATTTAGCCTCTGCATGAAATATGATACGTAAATAATACTGTAGAGTAATTATAAGCAAAAGGTGCTGCAAAAGGGACTGTATTACCTAAGTTCATACGCCTACATTTTTATGCTTCTAATTAACCTTCATTTTGGTACCATAAAAAGGATACTTTTAATCTCATTCAAAGATAGAAACTTGCTTAAAAATTCCAGAAGAATAAAGACGTTTTAAATAAGGAGTATTTAAACACAACTTTTCAAGTTCATTTTGAAAGTGGCAGTGTAGAAACTTAAATGAACTTTAAAGTATTAATTTGTATAGCATTAAACAATAACTGCCTTTGTTTTCCTTACACCCATCCATCCATACACTGCCTTATCAAAAGTGAATTAATATGAATAATTTATTTACCATGCAAAACTGAAAACTGCATGATTAGTTTAACATAATGTAAGCAGGGCATATCTAGGGGTGTGCAGAGGTGAACGCTCCCCCAAGATACAGTTGCCCTCCCACTCCCCCTAAAAGAAAAAATGATGTTCAAGTAGTTATAAATCACTTCAAATCACCTTATTTTGCGAGCTAGCACCCCTAACCTAATCTTCGAGCTCCCTACCTCACCTTTGTGCCCCTATCAGCCCCCCTCTCCCATTTCAAGACTAATAGATACGCTACTGAATGTAAGCGTTAGGTGAACCCAATAAGAAAAGATAGTTTCACTGTACTACTTCCATTTTTAACTTATTGTATGGAAAGACAATAGACACATTTTATAACAAGCTTTTTTTGTACTCATAATAAATTATCTTCCACATATTTTTTTTTACATTGTGACTAATTAACCTTCAACACAATAGCCGTATTCAACTGCTCATTCTTTGTTAAACCACGGCCACCTGTGCAGCGGAAAAATCCTACTTAACGAAGACGACCTGTCGAATAGAAAACTTGTAAATACTTGACAAAACAAAATGGCTGCATAGTTACCATGATGCACGCTGTGTAATCAAGGTTGCTTCGGATTGTGGCAGTATGGGTTTTTTTGTAAAAAAAAAATGTTTTAATCCAGCTTTTGAATTCTGTTAGCCTACAATTAATTTTTGACTTCATGTGGGTAAATATTATAATTTTTATTTTCTGAAATTTACTCTAAATTATATTAACGCAAATGGTGTTGTTGAACTGACCAATCTGCCATGTTTGTTTTGGTCACGTGGATAACGCTGATTAACACACTCTGGTTTACGTTAATTTTCGAAACAGTCGAATAAAAATAATGCTCAATGAAAAATCGTAGTCAACGAAATGATCCAGTCAAATAAGCCCAATGTATAAGAAACATGGATAAAAAATCATAAGAACAGAATTGTGTGACATTATAGAGTTTTGAATATGCCATCTGCACAACAAAGAAAAATTTGTAGAACACATGTAGCAAGAGAAAAACACCTGTAATACATTGACAACTAAGGCAGTTAAGCTAAGTTAGCTGAGTGTCGGAACAATGCTCTAAGTTTGCTGCTTCAATTCCCACAGATTATTTTCCCAATTTCAATTTCACAGTAAAAGGAACTTGCATCTTCATTATTATAAATAAAATATACATATAAATTTAATTATGAAAACTATGTGAAATAAAACATTGGTACCATTTTATTTATTAGCTTTTAATTGCTTTATTACATAAGCCTTCAACAGCGGCTGGCTTCATCAGGTTCCAATTATGAATCTGAGTGCTTGTTGAGTATGCTCTAGAGCTTCATATACATATATAAAAAAATCAACAAACAACAACAAAAATAATATTATTCAGATGATATTATAGTACACGTATAACAAGATACAATAAAAAACACCATGGTAAACAATTTCAAGACTATAGAGGGCTCATTTCACTTTGCCCAAAAATGAAGATTTTTTTTTTTTTGGTAGGTACACAATGGTGATATTCTTTGTTGACTTGTTCCTTGTAGCACTTAATGTTTTATCTTGCAAAGATTATGTTAAAGATTCAAGTACATGCTTGATCAAAATGACCCTTGACATATAACAAGTCACATTTCTTGATATATAAACACTCAAATTCCATGCCTTTTCTTGGTTTTCCAGTGTGCACAATATCCTTTGTATACATATTACATATGTGAGCACAGAGATATAACTATTGCAGCTTCATGAGATGTCAGGGACATTTCTGGAAATAAGTCCCTTTGCAGAAAGTTACATGGTTGTCCCCAGTATATGCTTGTCCTTTATGTCAATTCATTTGTACTTGTTGGGGATACTTAATAAATCATATCAAATCATGTGTAAAAAATCTAAAAATTTTGAGAATAATGTGCCTACCTTTGCTTGTGCTTAATGTGGTCTGCTTGAAAACTGCCATCCATGGTTTCATTCAAATTTTGGTTCGAACCATTGGCCTCTGCATCTTTTCTTAAGATTTCTTCTAATAAAGGTCGACCTTTTAGAGAAACTATTTGATAATTAAGACCATAACAATGTATTACATGAAGCTTCTTGAGCTTCTTTATATTCTTAATTTAGTTTCTATTTATAAGTAAGAAACATCAAACAAATAACATAAACATCTTGCTAAAATTTATCAAAATGTCATTTAATAAATCAAATATTAATATAGCTGATTTATTCAGTTAAGACTATACTGATTTAGTTGATCTATGAATAATTATAAAATTAATAATAGAAATTGAGGTAGAAAACACTTAGCAAAGTTAGTTTGAATTTCTGTCTACACTCCAACATTTTTTAAATTCAATTAAATGTCGATTTTGGTATTGTCTAATTGATAACTTTGTATATTTGAATTTTTATTATAATTATCTTATATTTCCATAGCTATTTGTATAAGTGATTTTTAATGTTTAGGAAGTTGGTGTTGGAGGGGCACACCCTTTCCAGTGACAGTAGTTTTTGTACAACTGTTACTCCTCCTCCTCAGTCTCCCTCTTTCTTTCGTCCTTGTCTTTGTTATATTGTGTGTTGTACTGTTTGCTGGAAGGAATAAAATAAAATAAAAATATAAAATAATAATAGCATGAATTGAAAATGTGATAATCAACCAACCTGTACGTGGCTGCATATCTTTAGACATTGGGAGAGGGGGTCTTCTCCTTGGGGCTGGGGTATCAAGCGGGGATGTCTGTGTCGAATGTGTAGTACGGATTATTGGTTTTTTAGATGCCTCTGGAATTGGTGTTGCTAATTGGTATTTCACTACCGGTGGTTCAGGTCGACTAGCAGGTACTAAGTAATCCGCTGACCTAGCTGCCTTGTGGTGAGCTCCAGTTTGTGCCTTGGTATTAGGATGCAGATTGGTTCCATCTTGGGCTTGGTAACCATTAGAATGTGAAAGGCCAGATGGTTGGGATTGTATGGTACCTCTGTAATCATCTGGGTTGGCTCCGCCAGTGAACACATGTGACATCATTCTTGTCTTGATGAAAATTATAACAATTTGACATTTACACTTGCTTTTAAATTTATTGGATTTATTGAGAGATTAAATTGTGAAAATGACAAACACATAAATTCAATTACTGGTTTATTAATGAATTGAAAGATTAACAGATTGATGAATAACTGGTATATTGAATGATTGATTTACTGGTTCATTTAATTATTGACTGATTTATTGATAGATTGATGAATACAGTAACTGATATATTGAATGATGTATCTACTTATTTATTAACTGATAAAGTAATTGATTGACTAGATTGATTGATTGATTAGATGATTGATTAAAAGATTGATGATTGATTGCCTGATTTATTGATGTGGTTACCATACCTGCCATTCTAACTGTTGCTGTTGTATTTTCTCCATCTGTAGTAGCCTAAGGTCCGCCAGTTCTTGTAACCGTCTCTCAGCCTCGCCATCAGTCTTCAACGGCTGTTTTGCTGCTGTCGTTTCTGCATCTCGTCTATCACTATTAATTGAGTTTAATTTCTCAAGTATTCCATTGATCTTCACTTCTAAGTCTGATTGTGACTAATAAAATAATAACAAAAAAACTCTGAATAATTGTCCTGTTATTGGATTTTGTGTATTTTTATTCCTAATCGATATTTATTTGTTTTAACATAAGGTGCTATGTAAATCTTAAAAAATTATCATTATAATTAATTTTTTCTTTTGCCTTCAAACAAAGAAAACAGAACCTGATATATGGTATGCTTGGCTACACAGACAATTATTGGTGAGTTGATTGGCCGAGCAATTAAGTTAGGGGCACCGTAACCTTCAGCTATAATATCGGTGCTGGTTCGATTGGCACACTCGCCAATGTTTCCGGTGATGAAACAAGTCTTCTCGGATAAGGACTTTAAACCATAGGCCCAGTGTACGCATTTGGCTCATGTGCACTTTAAAGAACCCAGTACATCCTTCGATAAGAGTAGGGGTTACAAAGGTGTACTGCTCTATCCAGTCCTCTGTTGTTTATTGGATAAGCCACTTAGGATAGTGATTAAGTTCGCTGATTGGCATATTCTTGGTGCTCGTGCCTAAAGAAATGAAACAAAATGTTTAAAATAAGAGCATTACAAAAAGAAGTGTTACCTTCAGAAATGGAGCTGTAGCAGCAACTGCGGCAGCTGTCATTGCTGCTACTGTTGTAGCATCACTGGTTATATTTGCCACATTATCGCGTTCTTCCTTGGCAGGCATGGGGTTGACAAAATTCGGCTGGACGTAACGTTTTATTGGGGCTTTGCTGTCCTGTCTTGAATCATAAAAGGAAACAAGAAATATGCAACTTTTACATACTGTACATTATGAATTACATCATAATTATTTTTTAGGACTGCAAATAAGGACTAGATGATGAAAATGAATCGGATAAGGACTATAAACCTTGGGCCCAGTGTACACAAATGCTCATGTGCACTTTAAAGAACCCAGTACATCTTTCAAATCAAGTAGGGGGTTACCCCGGTGGACTGGTTCACTCGGATCCTGTTGTGGACAGATGAAAGTTCGCCGGTTTGCCGGCTGCAGAGTCATGAAGCGACCCTCAAAGGAGGAGAAAGTTATTGAAAAGTGCAACATCTAGTCCACTGTGCCACGAGCAACGATTGTTGGAATGGTGCAACATAAATGGAACGATTTGATTTGATTTTTGCTATAGACAACCTACTTTTTTAGATTTTCCTGCATAACCTTCCTACGTTGCCCAGTCTTATATTGTGTTATCTTAACATCAGCATAATCTGATTTTGTCTGTGATGGGAATAGTTGATGTTGATTTCTCTGCCCTTGAACCAATACAGAATCAGATTTAAACTGCAAGAGTCAGATAATCATACAAAATTTGTAAAATTCATATCATATTTATTTAATTATTGAATAAGATAAATTATCCGTGGTAAATCTGCAAAAAAAACCTCTCAAATATTTTATTAAAACTTGAATTTACGGTTTCAAATAATTCAAAAGGTAAATAAGTTATTAACTTCCAATGAGAAACAGATGTAAGCTGTCCAGATTATCATATTTCCTTTGACAAAAAATAGTTGCATGCCCATATATAGTCATGATATGCTTATATATAGTCATGATGTGATGTCATCTTGACCATACTGTGGCATTTCACATGTTTCAAATAAAATTTGACAGTCTGCACCGGGCTTAAAACAATACAAAAAAAATCACAATACCTTTAAAGTGGAGTGAGGAAGACGTTCACCTGTTAAAAACAAATACACAAAAATATATAGTAAAATTGTGGAACATTGTTGCTTTTCCAAAACTGAATATTAAAAAATTAGAAATTTCAGCAATACTGTATAATATAATGGCACTGTACACTGTATGTATGCAATAATGTGTATAATACTATTCTAAAACTTGTTAAAATGTTAAAAAAATTAAACATTAAACAATAAAATTTAATGACAAAAACATCATTTAAAATAATCACACAAATTATCAACTTTAATTTAATAATAATAAATCAAAATTCAATGATTTTGACATTTTGCTATAAAAGGTTTTAAATTTGCTGGCAAAAAGTGAAAGAATGTTATTGTTTAAACATTTGTTAACTGGCAAGGACTTTTTCCAGTTAATTTGATATAATTGATCAGCATATTTTGAAATAGTATTTTTTTAATTCACCTAAGTATAATCTAAGATTTAACAGGTACCTTTATGTGCATACACATCTCTTCCTGAAGACATAGAATGAGAAACTGCATGTTCTAATAATGGCACAGGCTTATTGCCAACAGGTGTAGGGTCTCTTGGGGAAGCTCTTATAAGGGCAGGTGGCACTTTCAAATCTTCCTCTGGTACAATATCTGTCTCAGCATTAAATGGTGATGGAACTTCTCTTAGATATTTAGCCTTGATTCGAACACGGTGTGACCCAGTACTTGAATGGCTGCTTCCTGATGTGTCTAACTTTCTATCTGTTGGTAAATTAAGGCCTGAGGATTTGGGAGCTTGAACTTGGGTGGACCGAATAAGGACTTCACTAGCAGTGGAACTGTTTGAAGTTTGGTTACTGACATCAGCTGAATTGTTCAATGACTGGTTAACCATTCTGGTACTAAGCTCATTAGCTGAATCCACAGACATATTTAATGTTTAAATTAATCTACAGAACAGAACAAAATGGTGAGTGAGAGGTGAACATCATGCAATTATTACAGTCACTATTAAATAAAAATTGCATAAATACTTTTAAGACTATCATCGGCAAAAGCCTAAAATGTAATAAGAAGTATGATTTGATTGAATAATCAATTAGATAGCAAATTATCAATACTTCTAGCCTAAGATATTATTAAATAAAGTTAGGCCTAGGCCTAGTACAGAGCCCCTCTCTAGTTACAGCTTTCATCCAGGTAGCAGGATTGAATCTGGTTATCTTCCAAACATCTGGAAAGATGGTGTCATAACCCAAATCTTTAAAGGTGGTTCACCCCATGACCCCTTTAATTATC